CTCCAGTTTTTTTCCTGGTTTAACCTGTTTAACCAATCTTCATGAAAACGTTTTTCCACCCCTAGTTGATTTTTTACCATGATCTAGAAATGAATTATTTTTTGGACTTTCACTTTTCGTAAGTAAATTTAACACACTGTGACAAAAAATAACAATTAAGTAGTTTTATATATATTTATTATGAATATTATGTCATGTTTTAGAATATGAACAAAACCTGGAAACCTGAAACCCGTGAATATTTTAATTGGAATAAATGATGAGCTTTTTTATAAATGAAATTTGAAAAATAATATGCAGGCTAAACTAATTATAACTAATAAATCTAATAAAATTACCATTCGAAGAAATTAAAAACTACTGTAGATCTCTCTATTTAGTTGCAAATTAAGTTTGGTGTACCACAAGGCAATCTCTGCCTATAACAAGATAAATCATCTATTTATAATCGACAATAATATATATTTACTTGTAAATTTTTATATTTTTTTTGTTATAATAATCGAATTATTGATATTTTATAATTTAAAAAATAAGTAATATGTTTTGCTTGTCATTTTCTATAGTAAAGATTAGCAAAAGTAAATCGAAGTATAAATATTTAAAAATTAGATAAGATAGGAAATTAGTCTTTAATCATTAAAATAAATTATTGGAAACATCTTAGTTTGAAAATAATCTTTATGAAAGTAAATCGAAAAAGTTACTTTTTACTATATTAGTCGATTAAGAAAGGTTTTTATAAGTCATCAGATTATTATCACCTTATGTTAATGATTTTACACCAAAATCACAGGAAACTGGGTATACTTATAGATTATAACTTGTGTCATAATTGTGAACACCACTTACACATTGCACTTTTTACAATTTAAGTTCATGTTCTACATCAAGCCATAGGCACTCTTCTGCAGTAAAAATATATGATTTTTTTGCGTCTTTTACATCATAAAATAGGTCTCATGGCGCTGTATTTTGGTTTTACATCTTTTTTTCCTCAAAAATACTTCTCAACATTGCAATATTTTGCAACACAAATTGCAGGCGTCATAAACATATTGATTTTGTCAAAATTCGCAGCGTCGCTGCGAGAGACAAGCGTGAAGTGGCCCCTGCACATTCATTTTGTCACCTCTTGTGTCGGAACGGAGAGGTCAGCATATGACTTTTTGTGCCAAAGCCAACACTGCTGTGTGTGTGTGTGTTTGTCTGCGATTTATCTGCAGCTGCCACAATTATTCAGCGCCCTCGGGGTCGCTTATTGATTGAATTGGTCACTTGCTGCGAAGCAATTTTACTCAATTCGACGCGTGTAGAGTGTCCGACGGCAAACAGACCCTCCATCCAATATGAGAGAGAGCGAGAAAGCGGGGCGCTCGCTCAGCCAAATTCGGCCCTTAATTACTTACTCGCCTGCGACTCATCACACGAAAACATTAGGGCAGGCGAAAGAAGCCATTGGCCTTTGCCACCCTCCGGCGAAACTGATTAAAAACAGCCGCCAGCGTCGCCTCTGCGAGAGACCATAAAAATTATTGTTGCTCCTCCGACAGACTCTGTGGCACAAGCATTAATTATCATTGTTGTCAAGGGAAAATGCCGCTGCGTTTTATATTAAGGGCGTTTCCTCATTAATTGAAAATCTTTATTTAATTTCTTTATCAACTTAATCTTAAATGTTCGAAGGAAATTTTAAATGAATAATTTTTTACTTTTGGGAAATTAATAAAAGTTTTAAATTCAATTATCATTCATAATAAAATTATTTTCAAAGAATGTTTATACAAATTTGACATTAAAAATTTTATAAACTGTTTTACTTCTGAATATTTAAAAAAAGAATTTATGATGTATTATGCAGTTATGCAAAGTAAATAATTAATTATTATGCCTAAATCATAATTTTTATCATTCCAGAATTGATATTTTTTCACTAATTAATTCCTTTGCACAAAAAATTACAGTGTTTATGTTAAATTTTGAATGTTTATTATAATTTTATTATTTATTATAACATAATTGAATTAATTTGTGGAAAATGAAAAGAATTGATGTGTATGAAAAATAAATTACAAACCAGTTTTTGAAGGGATCTAATTTAAAATTTGAACCGATGCTAAGGACATTTGCATGTATCTGTTTGTTTATTCAGGCGATGTGCATTTTTCTTCATTTTTCGCTGGCATGTGTCGACTTTCATTTTCTGCAAGTGACGTTTCCTCCTCGCCCTCCGTCGAGCAGCATAATGCTTTCCCGGCACGTTTTTTCCTCATATGTTTCAGATTTCGGCGTGCGCGCGTTCTGCCTTCACCTTGCGTTTATTTATCTTCCGTTGGCTCCTTCCATTCGGCCAATTTGGCGTGCCCGGGAAAAGCACATTTCCGCCTTTTCTCTCTCATCAACATCCTAACCTTATTTCATGACCAAAGTCTATTATTTCCAACGCGCTTAAGTAAAAAATAAAGAAGGAATTTCATTATTCGGCTCGCCGGTGAGTTTTTCTTTTTTGTTATGTATGAAGCTCACGAACTTACTTTCCCGACTCCACGGCCGCACACGTTTTGCCTTTAATTAAAGTCAGTGAGCGACCCCTTTTTGCTTCTCCAAAAAGCCGCCGTGCTTCTTTTTCGAGGCAATTTCCGAAAATTAGCAACGGGTTAAGAGGCAAAAACTTCGATCGTAACAGTTACTTCGAATTATCTAAAACAAAAACTTTGTTCCTGCTGCACTGGCTCTAACAAAGAGGTACTTTTCAAACTTTTCTTTTCGGCACACAATTGTGGTGTAATTATAACTAAAAAGTTTTAATTTTCAACTGCCTGAAAATTGGAAATTGAATTGAAACAAAATTCCGTAACTGTATTTTTTATTAAAATTATATTGATTTCTTAAATAATAAATTTTCTTGCACCTAAATACAAATCAACTATTTTACAGACATGACTCTGAGATTTAAAATTGAGATTTCATAATTGGTTTTTACTTTTTATAATCATACACTGGTCCGAAAACCATTAAATTATAAATATTTTTGAAAGTATTATTGCTATTTATCTTCAATAATCAATAATAAAATTATAAATTTTATAAACCGTAAAATTATACAAAAATCTACCAAATAAAAATTAAATTTATTAAAATTCTTTGCCTACAAAATGTGATAAAGGAAAGCATAAAAGTTTAATATAATTGCATTTTTCATTCCCTTTTTTATTCCCGCGCGACATCTCCTCTCACAAGCTCTCTTTTCCACCCGGGAAGATTAGACCCGCTTTTGAATGGACGTGCGTGAGTGTGTATGTGTGTGGTGTGGGTGACACGCGCCTGCTGGAAATTCTGCGGCTGGCTCATTTGCGAGCCAGGCGTCACCTCCGCCGCCGCCGCCGCCGCCGTCTTGGGCGCAATGGGCCGCTCTCGACTGAATAATAATTCTTAGCCTCTCTCCGTGTATGTGTGTGTGTGAGAGAGAGCGCGCTGAGAGAGATCAATATGCTGCGCCTCTCACGCTCGCTCGCACCTACCTTCATGCAAATATCATGCCAACCACCTTTGCCGACGCCTCAGGCACCAACACGACAATGCCAACCAACAAGCTGCTCTCCGTAATGTCCCTCGGCTGGCCGATCAATACGCACCCACGCGCTTAATGCGCCTCTGCTGCAAAAAATAAGCTGACGTTGCTCCACACATACGGACAGATACGCCCGACAGGTGCTAATTTTTCTCAAATTTCGTTTGTCACACTTGACGTACAAATTTTATTTTCTATTTTAACTTAAATCGTCCGTTTATTTTCCATTCATGTTTAGATCATATTTCAAAGAATACGAAATTGGAATTACCAAACGAAATTAACGAAAAAGGCTGCAAAATTATTAATTTATAAAAATCATCATCACGGGTTACAATAATTTGTAAATATATCAACTGAGTCATGTACAAATAAAATTAAAGTTTTATATTTGTTAAACATTATATTTGTCAAAACATTGAATAAGCAAACAATTTAATTTAACAATTTCATTCGGCTCATCTTTATGAATGGGGATAGTTGCTATCTTCGTTTTTGATTTTCAAATTTCTTATGCGTCTGAGCAGCCCGTTCTGAATGATACTAATTAGAATTGTATCTAAACTTTTCGAGACATCACTATTGTTTCACTATCTATTTTATATAAAATACAAAATATAAATCTTATTATGTAGCTTGAAATTTCTTTATTTTTTTATGAAAGCAAACTTCACTATACTTTATTAATATTTATTATCTTTAAAATTAAAATGTAAATTTAAAAAAACTCAAAATTATATAAATTACATGTTGAGTTATTCTAACAATTAGGGCGAAATAGGGTAGTTAAAAAAAATAGCATTGATTTTTTAAATTATAAATTACGCATCATCTCAATACTAACTAAAACAAATTGTGTAAATAAATTATATCAAAACTATAATATATTAATAAATAAAAAGGAATTAAAATAAAATTAGCCAAGCTAATATCTATTCACACAAATTTTAATTTTATTATTTTTGAGATCAATTTAATCATGTTTTTGCCGATATTGTTAACATTGAAATTGATAACATTTATTTTGAGTAAAGAAATCAAACTTTAGAGGACAGAGTGCTTTGCCTTGAAGAGACTTTTTTCACATTCAATGTCATTCGAAAGCTTTTTGCCTACGTGCGAAATATTGAAATAACGACTTTGGGACGGAATATTGCGAAATTATACAGTGCGCTCGACGCAAGAAGAGAAATAATGGTCTTCTTCTTTCAAGCTTTTTCACAGTTCAGCGAGTGCGATTCGGTCCGTTTTTTGCACTGCGGAGTCTGGGTGTCGAGACGATTGCGAAAAAAGCTGTCGAAAACAAGGTTCAGCGCGGCGCCGCGAGAAAGCGCCGGTGGCTCTGTCTGCGAGCGGCTCCACCGGGTCCGCCATCGATTTGCTCGACTTTTCGACTTAGCGTATCAAATTGCCATTTCTCGAAAGAGTGGCAAGAGAAAAAATGAGCGCAATCCAATTTCGCCACTTTTTGCACCTCCCAGATATTGGATGTCGGTCGCTCACATGGAAATAACCGAGAACCAGGCTCCCCTTTGGAATTTGCTTGTAATCATTCTGGAGGTGAAAAAACTGTAAGAAATAGCTGTGTCGACTCGTATCGAAATTGATCTCCAAAATGAATTTTTTGAACACGATATTAAAAAAAATTACTACACATTTCTTGAAACACAGAATATTTTGTCTGTATTGAATTATATTTTTTTTTATCAATTTTTTTTTAACAGGGAAAACTTGGCTTATTCTATAATTATATTTGTTTCCCAATAATATTCTGAGAGGATATCATAATTTTGTTCCTTATTTTATTTATTATCCTCCATTAGTAAATATTACGTCGGAAAAAAATATAAAAAAATATGGCAAGGCAAAATATCAAGGTTCTTTTTTTAAATCCCAAAAAAATTCAAAGTTCTAAAATATCAATATTTTTTAGCATTTAATCAGTTCCAGTTAAAAATTTATGATTAATCAAATAATGTAAATTTTTTGTGTACAAATATGTTAGTTAATTTTTTTAAATGAACGAGAATTCTTCTAAAATTTGTAAAACAAAAATGAATCTATAGCAATATGTAATTTTGGCTCCTTTCACGCGGCTTTCCGACTAAAATTGTTATCTTTTTTACTCAGAATTTGCCCAATTATCTCAAAATAGAATTCATTGTTTGGCCTTATTCAAACCCTGAGGCTTTGGGGAATTTCAATCGAGGCGTGAACGTGGCCCGAAAATGTGAGGCACCCAATTTTTGACGTGTACATGCAGGGTGCGAGGGTATGTAATCCCGGTGGCGCGGATGCAACCCCTTGGCTTAGGAGCTCTGCCTCACCCGGCGGGCAACAGGTAGCAAAGCAAGGCGCAAAGTACCGAGGACCAAAACTGCTTGCCCACCATAGTTATTTTTGCCTCGCGGAATCACAGATCTGGTCCACCGTATTCGATTCTCGGTCTGCTTGGGGTGTTTCAATTGGCATCAGGGGGTGGCGAGGGTTGTCGTCGCCAAGCCCAATTCCCCGGTTATGCAACCCGCTGCTCATTACCGGCGGACCGGTTGCATAAGCGGCGTGCAGGCAGGCGGCGGTTCGGCCGCCGCCGCCGATCAATACTCGCCGAGACGTGTGTTTGTTCTCGCTCGGCTTTGCGGGTTTGCGCCTGTTGAATCTGCTGCCAAAGTGGCTTGTTCTTCGCCTGAGAACGCCGCCGTCGATAGTTCACTTGTATTTGCTTTTAATTCAAGCGCGCGCACTGCGATTTAATTAAAATGGGCGCGTTCAACTCTTGAACCCGACGCCTGCAAAGTGAAAAGTTCGTTCAGCCACGCATGCACCATTCCCAGCGTTGAAAATTCACTTCATTTTTAAAACGTTTTATTTTAATTAAAGCTTTTAATGCAAGTAAACGATATTTAATAGGGTTGGTAAAATTAAGTAATCACCTCTTTTTTAACCTATTTGTTGAAAAAGAACTAATTATTATAAAGACAAAATCTGTATTTTTATGAAAATTGACAGCATAATAATCAAATAAAATCATCTTTCTTTACAAATTACCAATTTCACCGTATTTCACAATTATTGAACATTTTCATCTATTTTTTCCTATTTGAATTATAAAAATATATACCACCTAAATCATAAAATTTTCTATTCATATAATTTTCTATAAAAATAAATCATATTAAAACACAATTCTGATGTAAAAAAAATCATCGAGCCAGACCTGTTTATTTTTGCACCTAAAATCACTTATTTCAGCTGAAAAAATTACCTAAATTATTTCGCCCACAAAAATCACCGATTTTTTTCCCAGGTCTATGTTATACAATAAAAAAAGAAAGAATGGATAGTTTGAGAGTTTACAGTTTCAAATTCAGAAACTAAAAAGCATAAAAATTATCTTTAATAAAAATATCTTTAAATAATATTTTTTTTTTGCAATTCACGCTGAAAGGGGACTTAAATCATCAGCTGCTATCAGCTCAACGCTTTTTATCAGTGGCATTAATTTATATCTATTTGAACGTATAAATATTATAATTAAATTTAAATTCATCTGATGAAAAAATTATGTTTACATTCACCTGATTTAAAGAAATTGGTTTCATTTAAAATAATGATGTAAAATAAGATGATAATATTCATTTTTTACTACAATCATAATATGACGCTGATGTAGTACAGGATAATGACATCGTTTTTTTTTTGTTTTGTTTCAGGAAACGTCAAGACAACCTCAAAGTTTTGAAAAACTTCGTTTGTTCCATTAGAAAAAACTTCGTCAAAACACCGAACAGGCCAACGATCAGGTAAGAACACCTTTTTCATTTAATATTAATGTTAAATAGAGGAATGTGAATGCTTGTGAGATCAGATACTTTTGAATACTCTTTTAAAATCAATAGAATGCGTTTGAATGTAGCGGAGGAAATCCCACAAGCCACGTGAGCATTAGTGCCGGTTAATAATTCAGCAGTCGCAATTTTACACCGCTCTGGCTTGCGTAATTAAACCAGCGAGCGAGTATCATCCTAGTTTCGACACTAGAACGTGATATTGCTGCGTGTAAACGCATTAAAACCCGGAGCCGATAATTTAATCTAGTCGCAGCGAATTAATCAAAAAGAGCCAACGTACGTGCACATTAATAATATCGGTTGCAACATTCATCCGCGCAAAATTTATGTTTGCCGCCGATAAACGTGACGTTTTATAAAACAGGACTTTTTACGATGGAAAATGTAGCTAATCTAATTATGTGCGGCAATTGTTGTAACGGATAGGGGCCGTCGATTTTGTTGTCGCAGCGACGTTTGCTGTTAGCCGACGAGAAATTGCTTTGCATAACATCAGCCAGCGCTTGAGCAAACTGCCATTAAGTTAATGGCGTTGACAAAACAAACCGCCGTCATGCTGCGGCCGCGGATCCTCCCTCGACCAAGAACAACAAGATAAAGTGCACGCAATACTTAACATATTTTATGGCCGTTCCTTGAACGAGTTGAGCGTTTCGCAATTCAAAGAAATTACTGTTGTCGTTCGTTCATTCGTAATTATTTAATCTGAAACATTAATTCAAGACTATAATTTGACCATTCAATTATGAAAAATTTCAATTTAAATTTAAATTGAATTGTGGAGGCTATTAATTTTGAATTAAGTTGATATGAGGCAAAAAAATTCATGCTAGCTTACATATATTTATTCTTTAAAAGCCACACACAATCCTTTCATATTTTTATTTTTTGTTGTTATTTAGTAAATGAGTTAATTATATTTTCGCAGTTTGAGACAAATTTAATTAAAATTTGTTGAATCATTTTAATGGTTTTAATATATAAATAAACTATTTCAAATGTTTCAACTTTTTTTTTTTTAGAATTTAATTATGTTTAAAATCTGCGTGAAACCGAAATCTATACCATTAATTTGCCCAAACATTTTCAATATTTTTAAATAATTATCAATTCCTTCTTATTTAGAATTTTAATCCTTTATCAATGAATAAGTTTAGCCACCACCTTACCCCCTGATGTTATCACATTTCTCTTGAATTCAAAATATTCGTCGCATTAAATTTAAAGAGTTGCAAAACAAAATGCAGAGCTATACTTATTTCCGTATTCAGTAACAGAAGCACGCGAAACGGGCGTTTTTAATGGTGCTCGCGTGGAAATTACGAGTCACAAACCTCTCTGGGGTAATTGTATGCAAATTGCGCGTTTTAATCAGTTTGGCAATCAAAATAGTGTGGCACGTACGAATAAAAACTTTCGCAGGCGTCTCTCTCTTCCCTTTTAATTTTTTTACGCCAGCGCTGCTGGAAACAATTTTTATGTTTCGCGTTTCATTAGCCTTGCAGATTAGTTGGAAATTGAGTTTGCCTCTGTCTGGCGAATTATTCCGGTGGCGCGATGGCTTTATTTTGCGGCGCGGCCAACAAAAGAAGGCAGGAAGAAGGTGCCGTGCACTTTATATGAAGGCTGTGCTGCTGGCTGTTATCAGCCTACGTGCCGCAATTTAATATCGCCGCTATTGGCTCCTTTATTCTGCGAGCTGCTGCGAGCCTTTGATAAACGCGCGGCTTGCCTTGCCTGCGCTCGCACGTCAACCTATTATTCCAGGCCAAACCGCAAACTCTAACAGGAAGCACAAAACTCACTCGATAATCTGGCTGTTTCTCAAATGCAATATAATTTGATCTGACGTTTGCCATCAAATTATCAATTGATTAATTTACACAATATAATTAACCACACAAGTTTTTTTTTCAACATAAAGTGTTATAATGAAAGGATTTGTAATTAAGAGTTTCATTTTATTTTCAATATTTTAATTTTTATTTTGCCTCCAATCATGAAACTAAAGCAGATAACAGTAGAGCAACAATTTTGGGAAGGACAAGCATTTTTCACTCTATATACTGATAATTGATGATTATATTGTCACATAATAATTTCAATTTTGTTTGAAGAAGTTTACACTCGAGGAGATGATCATGGAATGAGATTGGGCTTTTCAACGAGGAAAAGCCCGATCTCTTCAATTCAATAATTTCAATTCTTGATTAAAAACCCCTTTAAAATACCACGTTGCATAAAAACACCATTAACAATAAATTATTTTGAAGCACCAAAAATATTTGGCTATTTATATATTAATTCTTTCCAATATTTGACTAAAATTGAAAGTAGAAAAGAATAATTAACGCAGTTAAAAAAGTGCATTCAAATATTATTCCGTGGCCATTGTGTCTTCAGGCTCAGCTTTGAACAACTGCTCTATGCGACCTTCGACTTCTTCCACTGTAAAGCGCTGCGTGGCCAACGTACCAGTCTGCAGACAGATGGAATAAATTGCTATTTGAGACGAGATTTTTCACTTACTTGTCTTTTCATGACTTTTATTTCGTCGTGAATTTTTCTATCAAAAAATCCAGCCTTTGCCAACCCACTAGAGATAAGAAGAAGCAGCAGCAACGCGCCAGCCCCTGCAGCGGCGTAAACCCAATATGCCACCTTCGGAGCCTCGCTTGGTTGAAACATGACCACTGAAACGCGGTCAAACCCAATGCTACGCGGAAAGAGTGAACATTTTATTTTTGGAATACAATCTCGTGAAACCAACCTTTGGCCCTGAACGTTTTTGGGTTGCGTTACTTCAGCTTTTACGGCAGACTCGAACAGTATAAAACTTTTAGATTTGAAGTTCGATTCTTGATAGTAATTAAATTTAGAAAAATTTATTACATATTATTATTGTTTTCCTTTACCCAAAAGAGATGTTTCTATTTCAATATCAATTTTCAAGGAGGCGCTCTGAGTTTTTGTAGGTAGTGAAATGGTGCACTGGATGTGCTGGCACAACCATTCACCACTGATGCAGTCGATGAAAAGTGTCTCACTTTTTTCATATGTAGTGTTGCGCTCTTTGCTCGGATGGGTTATTTTGGCGTCCGAAAATTTGCACTCTCCTGTTTCAAAGAACTTGATTTTTTTTTTAAATCTTGTTAATTTTTGTCTTCATAACTAGTTAAGTTTTATTATACTTGCGGATTCCATATGGTCACAAATTTTTTAATTTCCGTTGTATTTTTTGCCACTGGTATGCTTACTATGAGAATAACTTCACTCAATGGACTGGGCCCTGATTTCTCCAGCTATTATTAATTATTATCAATTATTAAAAAGTTATACCGAAGCTTGAAAAAACCAGAAAAAAGTGTTGCTTACCAAATATTCAAAAGATGTCTGAACCCTAGAAGACATATTTATAGCCTTTTTATTTAAGCTAAACAAATACGTTTCATCTTTCTTAATTCTGAAATGTAAGAATGAGTTTTTGGATTTTAGTTGATTTTACAAAAACTAATATTTACCCGAAAACTGAAATGTTTGCTGCGTAAGTGAGAGGAACTGAAAAACTCGTTGCTAGCAATTTTCTGCTCAGAACATCAGCATCAGCGGCTACTTCAACTGCAAAGTTCAGTGCTTCACCAGATAATTTGTCTTGGGTAATATACATTTGCTGGGACCAACTGGAACCAGCAAACAGATTTCCGACGTTGCAAATAGTTGTTTCATTTATCTTCTCGCAACTTTCAGAAATGTTAAGGCTTTCAGGAAGTTGAATGTGGACTGTGGTGTTGAAGGCATGGTCACCCTTGTTTTCAATTCGCAAATTTAGCGATGCTTCATCCGATCCAACCAAAATGTCTTCCGACTTTCTTGGGCTGATAATTGAAGAGCTAGTTAAATAATTTCATTTACAAATTTAAAAGAACCTACTCTTGTTTGTTATGAAGTGTCATGATTATAGTGAAATTTGGTTGACAATAAGATTTGTTACCGCAATCCAACAAGAAACTAATCTCAGCACTTGCCTCTACAAATTTGTCTCTTAAAACGGCGCAATTCACGTCAAACAAATCAGATGCTGTTGAAATTAAATATTATATTTTTGTCGCTGGAAAAAAAATGGAATTTTACCCGGCAGTTTGTGTGTGGCGTTTGTGGTAGGAATTATAACGCTGGATTTATTTCTGGCCTTGTCACACACTACCCCGAAGCGACCAGTAACTTTAATTGGGATTTTAACAGTTTGACGCTGAGGTGATTTTGAAAATTAAGTTTAACATTCGGAGCAAAAATCTTTTATATTACATGAACAGTGAAATTCTCCGAAATGCACGTTGAATTTCCATCAAAAACCGTGACGACGTTGCTTAAAATTCCTCCAGCAGTAAGCCTATCGTCCAACTTGAGTTCAAAAGCTACATCTACGCTTGGAATAATTTTTTAATTTTTTTTTTAATAAAAAAAAATTGCAATCGTTATACCGAGCAATTTTGGCTTGCTTTTTCCGTCATATTTTATGCAATACTTAAATAGGACAGAAGTTGCATTCACCGAAAGAGCCTGTTCAGCAAAATCCATGGAAATATTTAAGGTGACCACTCGGTACGATCTAAATATTACTGCATGCCCGCTCCGGTATGACCCAATGGCAATATCTATAAGGAAAGTGCATTTTTTTTATTTAATATATATATTAATTTGCTTTTGAATTTTTACCTTTATATCCATTTCTATCGATGTCTTGTCCCCGAGATATAGAATAACCAAATCCAGACAATCCTGGATAAATTTCTCGCCCTTTTAAAGTCTGCTGATGCATTAGACCTTCTTTACTACCATAGAAAATTTGAACTTCTCCTGAATCAGCATCAGCGTACGGAGCCGCAATTGCAAAGTCTGCGTTAAGACATAAGATAGCATACAAAATAAATAAATTATTTTTACAACCTTCATATCCGTCTCGGTCCATATCACCAATGCAGGCAATTGTCAATCCAAATCTGCCACTTTTGTGCTTTCCATTAATTACGGCATTTAACTTTGGTCTCTTCATTTTTCCCTGTAATAAATAATTTGAAAATTGATTTGTTACCATTAGACCTTATTGCTTACTGAATTGCTTCCTAAATAAACGAAGACTCTTCCTTCATTTTGCAAAGTTTCAAGATTTGAATATAGCGGTGCCCCAACAAGCAAGTCGTCTAAACCATCGCCGTTCAAATCACCTGATGCGAGCGCAGCACCAAAATGTTCTGCTCCTTCAGCTTGTTCCACCTTAAGTATTTCTTTTGCATAATTTTTCCGTCCAATGACCACCTTTCCAACAGTTAAAAACATTTAATATTTTTATTTTGTATTTGAGAAAATGCGTATAAAACCAATGGTTACTGAAAATATACCTGTCCATTTGAATCAGAACCAGGGGCTCCTGCTGCGTAATACTCTTCACTGGTAGAATAATATCGGCCGATTGATACTGCATAACCTTATATGATGAAAATTTAATCAATTTAAAAAAAAAAACATAAGCATTGGCAGAAACATTTACCCAAAAAGACAGTCTCTACTGAACCAACATAAAATAAACTTGCATACCTAAGTACTTTGTTTCTTCTCGTCGAAACCAGGTTTTTTCTGGAGCTTCAAATTTACTCAGATCTTTGTAAACAACGACGGCGCCTAACTCTATACCCCTGGCAGTTGGAGCCCCGAGTATCACACTGCGGCCCTCCTATGAAAACAAGTTATGAAGTTCTACTGGATTGAATTTTAATATAGTATAATATGCCTTGTATAGTTGAGTTGAAAATCCAGCTTGGGCCCAAATGAAATGAAAGTTGGTAGTATCATTGTTATTGCCTGCTTTCAGGAACTCGCCATCATCTGTTATTATATTTACATATAAATAAATTAATATTCAAAAGTTTGAAATAAATTATAGTGAGAATATTTATACTTCTTCGAGAAAACAAGGGTACAATGGTTCTTGTTGATTTGGTACCCAGTTTATCTGAAGCTCCCCAATAACAGAAGCCATATATCCGAAGAAAGACTGGCATGCTTGGATAATAAATTTTCACTCGTGGACTGCAAATCTTAAAATTGGCAAAAAGAGTAAAAAGTTTCCTTCTGACGTCGACCATTGCTTACTATGAATTGATCTTGTGTGACGTCAAGAGACATTCCTAGCATTGCTGAATCGTAGTAGTCCGAGTATTTCCTAGCATTTAAACTGTCCATTTTTCCTTACAAGAGATTGAAATCGAGTTGATTTGATCCACCTCGAGGTATTGTACAAAATCTTACCTTCAGCTGCAGAACAGTCGCCTTTAACAAGGCAGTCGGATATTTCATTGAAAGTGTTCTTGTCAATTGTTAAATAATTTATATACTGAAATTTTTGTTTGATCAGGTCAACTAAAAATGAAAATTATTAAAAAAAGCAATTATTTCTATTTCCACAATATTTTACAAGTGTAGTCCAGTTTCAATTTGCGACACGGTTCCTTAATGGGGCATTTGTAAACTGCACCTGGCACTGAGGCATTTCCTTCCATAATTGCTTTTGATTTTGGCGCACCCACAAGCAACCTTCAAAATATTTAAGCTAGTAATGAATTTGGAAAAAAAGAATGATATATATATATATATATATATATGTCCTTGAAATATGGTAATTTGATCATTATTTTATATACTTCCTCGTTGTATTTTGTAGTGGAATAATTACCAAGGATCGTCATTTTCACTTCCAGGGTAGAGACCAATGCTGAATCCAAAATAATCACCTTCGTTCACCGATTTATAGACCAAAGTGTTATTTGTATTCAAATTGAAACTGCAAACATTTTCCAAGAGCAGGAGAAAAAGGAGCGGGTAGAGCCGCATCGTTGAAGGAACTAACATTAAGAAGGAAAAGTTTGCGTTTAACAAAAGAATTATATCTAAACCGCGATCATTTGAAAATAATATATTTAATAATAGATTTCCTGGTCAAAAAGGAAAAAACGAACCTTATCAGAGTGGAATGCTTAGGGCACGTAGCAAAGTAGTGTTTTGCTCATTACCAGGCCGTACTCAAGTGGAGCCATTAGGCGCGCTGATGTTGCATCACAGCTTTTGTTGGGTTGTCGCACGACATTAGAGCTGTCGTCTGGTAATAATGCATTTATGCTAATATCGTGTGCGCCGCCGATTATTATTGCCCAAGTGCTTTCTCGCGCACGCATTCGACACTCAGCGCGCTCAACAATAACAACTTTTCGACTCGTAAAAACACGCCAGCGAGGAAATCGTCGCGCCAACTTTGCTCTTTCGCGCGCAGCACTGACGCAAGTTTGCGCGCCCGAGGATCAAAACTAACGCGCCTTAATGTCGGCGTGCATTTTCATTCGTGTCCTTAATTGCGCTCTCTGGAGTCGCGACAAAGTGACAGTCGCCCTCCGAACCCCCAAAGGGCTGCTCGACAAACCTCCAAACTCGATTTGATCAAATCGAACTTTGCCTAACTTGCGGAACTTCCAAACGTCGCACAGCACGATTTTAATTCTAATCAATTTCTCCTTCTCCTGCTCAACATGATTGCATGTTTAACATTTTTAGTGATGATTTTTTTTTCAAATTGGAATGCTGAAAATACAACATAATTATCTAATCAAATTTAATCACATAGATCGTGCAAAGTCAGATCTTTTTGAAAAAAATTTTGCTATAAATCCTGCAGCAACCTGACGAAAATATTAATTTTTATAAATTGATAATATAATTTTAGATCAATGACTTTTTTTAGCTTTACTGAGTAAAAACAAATGGATAAAAAAATACGAAATAATAAAATTTTAAAAGTAAATCTAAAAATTAAAAGTTTTAAATAATAATCATATGTTATAAAAATCAAGTATTTAAATTAATATTAATTAAATAACATTTTTTTTATAAAGTTTGGTATCCAATTTTTGTTTCCTTTTGTCAAATAATTTTTTCATTTTGTTTTCCGAGCTGAGCATTGAAATCACAAAGTCTGTAAATAACAATTTTTGCGCCAGGGCAAGCTCCCCGTGGGTGCTGTTAAAAAATGTGTGCGCTCGGAATGAAAAAGTGCCGAAATGCAAGTTTTTTTGGTTAGCCCACCCGCTTTTCCGTGTTCTCTCTGCGAATCGGCGCGGGTCCCCCGCAGCTTTATTTCACTCGAGCAGAGGAAGGGCTGCTTTCAAAGTTGGCTAAACAAGCGTGCAGCTCGCTGGCTGGCTGCTGGAATTTATTAATTTGTATGTTTCGCAGCGTTGCTGCTCATATTCCCCAGCTCCCATGGTAATCTCGTAATGGCGTAATGCAAGCAATTAAGCCTGCTTTACCTTCAGGTATGGCGAGAGAGCGGCGCGAGCAAGCGAGAGAGCGCTATGGATGCTCCGCGCGCGCCGTCGTAAATCTCAAAATAATTAATTCATAATTCTGCGATTACGTTTCGGGCCCGAGTGGAGCGCTCTTTTAACCAGCCCCCTTTGCCTGCCCACCTAATTTTGGCTCAGAACCTACAAAATGATCCTGCAAAACATTTCTTTCCTCTTTTGTAAGAAAAAAAAATCACTTCGTTTCATTGTGTAAAGTGCACTTTTTTCCTCTGGGTTTTTTTAATTTTTTATTTTTTTATTATTTGTTTGAAAACAAGTTCAGTACATTGTGGTTGAAAAAATACTGCAATTCTTTTTACCACATCCTGGTGTTTAACTAGCATAACCTTATTAAAGCGCTTCCTTTTTCCGTATTGAAATAACAAACACAAGTAATTCGCGCTACATTTAAAAAAAAAAATAATAATAATACTGAAAAATTTGAGAAACTTGTATAAAATCAACATCTATAAATGTTTCATGGAAATTCCCATATATTAAAAGATATTTCCTAGGAAAACTTAATATTTTAAAGCACCAAAAAATAATTTATGCTTGTTCGCGGTCAAAAAGATATAAAAATGTACTTAAGTAATCTAACGATTTCTAAGAACTATAAATTTCTTGTTTAGCTGTGGTTGTAATGAGTGTGTTGACTCGGCTAAATGTGCATTATTTTTATAATTGTTTTCGTTTTTTAAAACATGAAAGGTAATTGTGAGTAGAAACAAGAATAATAGTTTGACAATTTTGATATTTAATTTACAAGTTATTGCAATATGTGATTTTTATCAGCTGTAATTATGCTGTAGATGCAATTAAATAAAAAATAATATAGAAAGCAGTACCCGATTGCCCATAAAAATTCACTGCAAGTAGAATTATCTATGATGATCACATTTGACGTCGAAATTCAAACTCATTTACTATAGTTGATGAGCATCTAACAAGTTCCAAGATTGTTCTACCTTAGAGACAGGGGCGAGGCAGATTTTAAAGGAAATCGCATTAAGCTCCCTTTGCGCATAATTAATCTCCTTGCCTTTGCCGCCGCTACTGAGCGTCAATAATTTGAAATTTGCCGCCACCAACAAAATTTTTGGACCGTGTGACATTATAATTATGAAATTTTTCCAGTTCATTCCAGTTCAGCAAAACTGTCAAATATTATTTTGAGAGAGCAGCGAAGTAAATTTAATGTTATTAAAATTATTTTGTTCTCCTTCGTAACAATAAATTCTGATTCATGCATAATTAACAAACAGCCCCTTTTACGCGAATTCACGCAATTTAATTTCGAAACGAGCTGCGGTTGAATCGCTCCTCAAGAATCCTCAAAATCCAATTCATTTGTGTGTGCGCGCAATTTCTTATTTGGTTTCCTCCCCCGCGTATGCTGTGCGTGTTATTTTATACATATATTATGTTCAGGCGAAGAGGGCGAATCTCGGCCGCAAAACGCACTAATTTTAATGAGGAGAGCTATTCTCGGTCCTAGTGTTTACTCATTAGCACCCCCTCAACCCTGCCTCTCTCATCACTCTTTTTATTAGCGTGCGCGAGTGAGAAAGGTAGAAAGGTGCATTTTGAAACTCGCAAGCCTTGAAAGGGCGAAGGCTGCAAAACATAAATGCACATTTATGTTTATATACAATTTCTATGTTGTTTTGTTATTGCCTGATTTAGTTCGCTGAATTAAATTTTAAATTGATTACAAATTTGATTCGATTGAATAAAAGTTTATTTAGTTTGAAAACTAATTATAATTACAAAGAAATTATTTTAGAGAAAATTCAAATCACATATAAGAAACCAAAAAACGTATTTTAATTTATCACTTAAATTGTATTTTGAATTTAGTTGGTCTTTTCTATTCAGTTATTATAGATACTTTTGAACTGAAAGTTTAAGCAATGATTTGCCAAAGCTTGGCAAAGTTTCTTTGGCAGCTCGACCTCCTGCAAAACAAAAGAGCCAAAAATAACCCACACACGAAAGTTACCTTTCCCCGGAGCCGCACGTCGCGGTTTCCATCAAGCTTTCCTCTCTCTCTAGGTACTTTTTAATATTAGAGACCCAAAGGCCGTAATAATAACAGTAAAAAATCTCTCAGCGGTGGCTGCGGAGAGGCAGCGAAGAATGTGGAGGCGCCAGCTAGCTGGAAAATATAATAATAAAAGGGCAGCAGCAGTCAAAGCATGTCATCTAGCTGGGTGTCCTCGCTTGCGAGCGAGAATGTGCTAAAAGAGAAAGGACCGGCCAGCATCGACGGAATTATTTCGCTGCAATAACAACAAAAGTGCGCCTCTCTCTCTCTCTCCATCTCTTGGTGGTATTTTGCGCCGACGGTCGCTTTATTACCAGAGGCCTTCAATCTGTCTCGGCAGCAGCAGCGGCACCGAAAAATGACGAGACGCCGCCCAAGAAAACTCACTCGCACGAGAATTCATTAAAATTATGTTGCAACTCTCGCCGAGTTCAGCTTTTGTCCCGCTCTCGAAAATTAATCTGGCTTCGCTCCGGCACGTGCACAAATTCAATTTGCACTCACAATGTGCGTGCCATGGTATAAGCACCACACCCAATCCCCCCATGACAGAAGTCATTTTCTCTCAAAAATGGAAATTAGGGGTTGCTTTTTGTTTAGTCTGTGAAATTGAATTGTTAATTTCAGGATCAAATAATACAAATGAGATCATTTTGGCAAAAAATATTGCTCAAAATTTATTTCCAACTAAATTATCTAAACTAGGTAAATTTTGCTTGACAATTGTCAAGAACATTAACAAGCATTACAAAGATTTAATTTTCGTTAAACTGAACAATTTTAAATTTTTTTAAGATTTTACAAGGTAAGTTTATTGTTGTTTATTCTACTCAGGAGGAAAATGGAGGTGATTTATTGAAATTTTGAAGTAATTTCAAAATACATATTTGTTTATTAAAATATCATTTAAAGCAATTTAATCGGGGAATTTTATAACAGCTCAAATTATTCTCAACGAGGTTTTATAATTTTTCCTGATTCGATCATAAAATAAAGACAAATATTTTTCTCTAACAACAATTTTTGGCTGCGATCTGAAGCTTTATGATTCATGAGCTAGCCATCTTGGTCGTTTTAGAGAAGAAACTAAAAAACTCATCAAAGAAAAACCGACTCCCCCTTAAATAAAATCGTTAATAGTACCTTATAAAAAATATTTTGTCTTCACAGGAAGAAATTGTACTCTATAAATCTTCCTAATCACGATTTTGAATTAAAAAAAAATACAGCATTCCCTGTTATATTTCTAATTGTGCAAGCGCTAGTGAGGAGCTGCACGTAATTAATATTTTAACACTGTGCCCGCTTTGACGGAAGCACCACTTATTAAACTTGGCTGCAGGGCTCACTTTTGAATGAGTGAGATTTGTACAAAAGGCGAGCGAGCGAGCGAGGGTTGCAAAATAATTTACGCCAGCGGAATGATGTCGGAGATGCAAATAAAATGTTATTGCTGCCTCCGTTGCATGCAGAGCTAGCAAGATTAAGGAGAGACATAAAAGAGCTGCAGCGAGGGTTGCGCATACTTGTCTCTTTCCCAATCGAGCGAGCATGCACATGGCACTGCACAACACACACAGAGACAATGCACTTATTCCGTTGTGTGTTACACACGCCATTAGATGTGAAATAAATATGAGACCGTTAAACTTTAATAACGAGCAGCCGTCCCGAGTGCGAGCGACGGCAATTCGAATCTGCAGTCTGCAGGGAATCGGCGGATGGCTGCTGTGGGGAGCGCACACGCGAAATCAAATGCGTGTTCGGCCGAGGGCAAATCGGCCAGAATATATA